TTACACTTTAAAGATATTAAATGCTATTATAGGGTTAGGTTGTGCCCTGATTGTGTGCAACCACTATGTTTTAAAGCCTAAAATAAAAAGCAAATTTTCTTCCTGAGACCTCAGGATGGAAGATTGCTGCTGCCACCAGAGGGACTCAGAAATACGACGGCAGGAGCCGAGCATCCCTGACCGGGCCAAACTTCTCAGCGAAGGCGTCTGACTTGCAGGGGCTGCCTTCAGGATTTCTCAGGTGCTGTGTTATCTGCTCCCACGGCTTGAGGGCTGGGCTCGGATATGAGGTTTATGCACTTTCTCCTCTCATCATGCTGATGGGGGAACAGATTATGAACTTAGTCATCCTGCCTGTTCTCCTTGGTTGATGCAACTGGGCAGCAAGCCATGTGTTTTGTACCACGCAAGGTACAAAATGCTCATAAAATCACCTCTATTTCACTGGCTTTCCTGGTATTCAATCACACAATAAGCACCAAAAACAACTGCTAAAATAGGAGTTAAAACGTTAATGATTTGCTCGCACTCAGGATTGAATTGTAATGCGGGGCTTTTCTGCATTTATTGCAAATTTGGTTTTAAAAAGTGGGGAGAAAGATGATTAAAAAGAGTGTGATTGAAGGTAAAGTCTGGAAAAATTCAGTAAGGCTCAGGTGGATTCTCCTGTGTCTGGGGAAAACAACCATTCTCACTTGTCCCACGAAGAACCAGCATTTTCTTTTTCCAAGTGAAAGCAAAAAAATTACCATTGCTGCAGTAGATAGTACCTTAGATTAAAGGAAGGAAAGAGCACTCAGGATGAAACTGTGTTTGTTTCACAGTCTGTTTTTTTTCTGTGTGTCATAAACCCCTAAACCCTAAGGGGTGTTGGAAAAGATTTTCTAGTGATTAAACTATTTTCTTTCTTGTAAAGCATGTATGGAGTTTTGCAGTGACAACCTCTGGCCCAACAACAAAAATGCTGTTGCCTTTCCTGAAACTATTATTTCCCATTTTGCTGAAGAACTATCTCTGTCACAAAACCTGCAGCAAAATTTCATTTATAATAAAAAAACCCCACATTAAAAAACACAGGATTACAATGATTTGGGTATGATAAATGATCCCAGGGTACACATAGCTTGCCTTCTTGGAATGTAGGAGAAAAGCCAAAGTAAAATTGTTTTCAAGGAAATTATCACATTTTGCTTAGTTACAGCCCAAACTGACTTTCCTGTTGTTACTTCAGCCCTGGCCTGAGATGCTTCAGGTTTACCTCAAGTGACAGGATACGTAGAGTTTGCAAAGTCCCATCATCTGGATTCTTGTTATGTGTCTGTCTCAATTTTGATACTCTTTGGTAGCCTCTGTGGTTGTGGAGACAAGATGTGGTTTTAATCTCATGGTTTTGGGAGTCCTAACTCATCCTTTTTAGTGTTGAGGACAGGTAATACCTCTCCCTCACACAGAAAAGAGCCCGAGCTGCTTTACAGCAGTTTTGCATGGCTTGCACTGGCTCCAGGGAGATGTGCTTATGAATACTGAGGTCCTAACAAACCCAAACCAACACTCTGGGTGAGCTGCAGGCAAAGCTACCCCTTACGGGTAACTTCAAGGTTGTGTCAGCCCCGGACAGGGGTACAGAGAGGCAGCAGCAATCCCCTTCCAAAGCGAACTACCAGATTAATTTGGTTTTGTTGTTAAAGGGAGATAGATGAAGACTATTTCCTCATTTCCAAAACGTGAGCACATCCAGAAGACGTGGCTTGCCCAGTTACGGACAAGAGGAACTCAGTTAAAACATCTGTTCTTGTGGGATATTTATGAAGTGGGTCAAGCCTACTGACTTTTGGCAGTTTAACTGGTCTGATAGGACAATAAGAGGGATGTTGTTTCTGTAATTCATGTTGTAAATTGAGCTCTGATCCCTGGGAGTACAAGAGGCTCCCAAGGAGTCGTGTTTGTGAAGGTCTGCACTGTGTCATGCTTCCTGCGCTGCTGAAGAGCCGTCATTCGTCACACACAGCGGCATCTTCTGATTGCTGGCCAGTTTTGCGTGTTAAACGGGCTCTCCTCTGCCCCAGTGACATGCTTTGTGGGTGTCATCAAATTTACTGGTTCTCTCTTAGAGTAACTTCGTAAGGATTTATCAGAGGCTGATGGGAGACAGGGGAGCAGCGCTAGGATGGGACCAGGCTGAAGAACATACTGTTTGAAAAACCTGATGAGTGACAAATATCCAATATTTCGCATTTCATCTGGATGCTCCTCCATCAACCCTCTCATGTTTAATGCTCTGACGACGTGGCACAGAAAGCACATCCCCTATGTACCGTTCGTGACACTGAGCAGAGTAGCAGAATCCCTTCTGGGGACTGATGGGACGTCTTGGGAAGCGTACCCCAAATCAAGCCCTTCTATTTGCTTATCCCCACATTAGGTTATGAGTGTAGATCTTATCTGCTCTGCATTTTCATCCCCCTTTTCTAGGCACGACTCCTTTTCAGCTTCCCCTTCTAATTAATAACTGTATTTTCAGACTGTTTGGCTTTAGATGTTTTAATGTGGTTTTTTTTTAAAGCAGAAAGTGTACTCCCTAATATTCTTTTTGATACCTATACGGCTCTTCATCATCTGCTTCCCCTTACATACCTTTTAATAAGATATACACTATGCCTTGCAACTATTTCATACATGGTAATCATCCATCCTGTAGCAGCCTTGTAGCGCTATGGTGTGTAAGTGGTCTTCCAAGGACCTTCTCCTCAGGCCAAGCAATGGAAATCAAGACACATCAGCACTGTGTCAGGTCAGGATCCAAATCAGGCTGGGTTTTGATTTCTATAGCTGTAAGGCATTTTTTTTTTCCTCAAAGGTGGTCAAATGGCACGTGCAACACCTGGAATGGGTGCAGCCATGCTTGGCTCTGCCAGAATGTCTGTCCAGCTACACCGTTCCGCTCCCTGAGAGCAGGATGGCACAGCACACCTCGCAGATGACGCACTCGCGCCAGCCTTCCCACACTGCCTTTTGAGTTGTCTTATCTTTGTTATTCTTATATGGGAGTGACTTCCAGACTTGGAAATGGGAAGCAAAGGAAAAGTTACAATGACTTCAGAATGAATAATTAAAAAATGAGTTAGTTCCTGAAAAGTTTTTCCTAAAAACTGTCGAAGCCTGCTCTCCCTGCCAATTCCCAACATGAACTGTGTGTTAGACCCCCTATTTTGTATGGAAATGGGCACCATTAGGTCTATCTATACTGCCCAGCATGGTAGTCTATGCAATACTGGAACATGACAAAGTGGTCAGCAGCATTTCAAAGACAATCTTGTGGTTAAAAGCAATACAAGCAATTCTAAGGCGAGTTACTTATTTCCCCCTCCCTGAAAAGCATCCCAACAACTGCATCTGTAAGAATGACTCCTGGCACAGGAACGTGCTTCCCTGGTCTTCACCCGACATGTGCCCTGAAAGGTTTATTTTTCTGCTGTTAGTAGAGTGCATAAAATCCAGCATGTTGCTGTGCTGTGTTCTCTGCTCCCAACCCTTGGCTGCGGTGTTGGCACTTCGTGTCTCTGCCTTAGCACAAACATACCCTAAAGTTTGGCATGTGCCACAGGAGGATCACCCAAGGACACAGGAACACAGTAACACTTCAGGGCTGGAGTGGGACTCCTCTCAAGCGGATGGGGGTCGGAGTATGCTGTAAGAATGTGGAAATGACTGTTCCTTAAGCAGCCGCCTACTGTTTCAGAAGTCCCTGGGCATCACTAGCTGCTGACAACAGTTTATGCAGCTCGTATTGTGCTTCACTTATCCCCAGAGTCTGTCCCAGAACAGGAAAGAGGAATATTGAACCCAACTTTGTCCCCATGTACATGAGCCCTTCAGAGAACAGCTGGGAATGGCAGCCTTTCCCTCGGTAAATACATCCTCCTGAGCTGGGTGAAGAGACCATGCGAGGGGAAACCTGACGATGGTCCACTTTTTAATCAGCATTTATTTTATAAACTGAGGTTTTACAATTTTTTAGATGCTTACAGGCATCTCTAGTAGCTGTGGTGACTGTTTACTACGAGACGCTAAGTGGAGAGAAAATGAGCAGAATACATTGAGGCAAAATGGTTTTGATGAAATGTCATGAATAAATTTGTCCTTTTTATGATGAGTCTCATGGTATAGGATTCAGTCATTTTTCTTAGAACCTCAGGTCTTTGAGCGATAGGATTATAAGACATTTTTCTTTCTTTCCAAGGTAAATTTTCAGTTTTTCAAGCCCTGTTGACTGTTGAGAAAGGGACCAACTTTAAAAAAAACCAGTGGCAAATTCAAATCACCTTACGTAGAAACCTTAAAAAATTACAAGTTTATTTTAGGTAATCCTGTGGTTTCTCACAGCTTACCTTGTGGTTTTTGAATGCTTGGATTTGGAAGTGCTGCTGCAATGAATTTTAAAATAGAGACTTTAAGCTTGATGAAACTGTAGTGCACTATAATGTAACAGGAAATAGGAAAAGGGGCTTAAAGGTCTCTTTACACACTCTAGAAACGGACAACAGTAATATATAGGGCAAACCCAAGGCTTGCAGCTAAATTAAGCAATACCAGAACAATTTCAGACTTCTGCAGATCTGACCCAGCGGTAGCCTGAGGATAGCACTGAGAAACCACACAGGAGAAACGGTGCAGAGCTGGAGCTGGGCAAAACTCAGCGAAGCGTCAAAAAAGTTTGTGGCAGAACTGAACAAAGTATCCACCTCATCTTCTGCACCCAACACCCCGAAAGGATTTGTCCTGAATGGCTGCCGGCTCCTGGCAGGAGCCCCCTGACAGCCTTAAGCCAGACGGAAATTCAAACGCGTCTCATAGTACTTGAGTCCACGCGACATCTTGCCCCTAACTACAGCGACCACCAGAAATGAGGTTTTAGGACCCTTCTGGGCTAAGGGGTCCCAAAGGCCTACCTTGGCCAGATGCTCTGCTGGTCCTGGTGTCTCCGGTGCGCCTCCTCTTCCTCACTTGTCCTTCAGCGTGGCCATGCCCAGGGCCTCCGAGCTGTAGTCGTACTGGTTGCTGGAGGACATGGACCGTCCCCAGGAGCACTGCAGGTTGGAGCCCCTCTTGCGAAAGGAGGATGTGAACCTGTAGAAGTTGCGGTGCCTGTTGCGCAGGTATTCCCGGTAGTTTTTGGTGAGCAGGGTGTAAAGGAAGGGGTTGATGCAGCTGTTGCTGTAGGTCAGGCAGGTGACCAGGTAGTTAATGCACTTTTGGGTTTGGGTGGTGAGCTGCAGGGAGCTGCTGTAGAGTCGTACCAGCTGCCAGATCCAAAATGGCAGGAAGCAGGCCCAGAAGACCAGCACGATGCTGAAAATCATGATGAGGACCTTCTGCCGGGGGGACCTCTTGCTCTTCTCCTTGTGGGGGGGGTTCCTCTGGGACTCCAGGTAGGTCCTGGCCAGGCGCGTGTAGAGGAAGCCAATGATGATTCCCGGGGCCATGATGCTGGTGCTGAAGAGCACCGTCAGGTAGGTCCGGTAGGCATCCACGCTCCAGGTGGGCGCACACATCCTCTTCACCTTGCCCTCTGCCTTGCCCCCCTCGGTCAGCGTGACCATCAGCATCATGGGCAGAGTAAGGAGCAGCGAGACCGACCATTTTTTTCCTTCCGGTAGCCACGCGACCGCTTCAGGGTGTCCAGGGGCCGGGTGACAGCCAGGTAGCGCTCGGTGCACATGAGGGTGAGGGTGAAGATGCTGGCGTGCATGGTGAGCAGGTCCAGGCTGAGCAGGATGCGGCACCCCAGGTCCCCGAAGTACCAGTCCTGGGC